ACACATACCTGTCAGGATGCCAAAAATGCGACGAATTTTTATGATTTCTGTAAATTTCATGATTTTCATAAATTTCTATGATTTTTTGTGAATTTTCATGATTTTTGTAAATTTTCATGATTTTTATAAATTGTCATGATTTTTGTAAATTTTCATGATTTTTGTGATTCTTATAAAATTTTATGATTTTCGTGATTTTTGTAAATTTCTATAATTTTTTGTGCATTTCATGATTTTTAGAAATTTTCATGACTTTTGAGAATTTTTATGACTCTTGGAAATTATCATGATTTTTATGATTTTTGTAAATTTTTATGATTTTCGTGATTTTTGTAATTTTTCTGATTACTAAGGTATTTTCGAATTTTTGTAAATTTTTATTTTCTTAAATTATTGTAATTTTTGTAAATTTTTAAGATTTTTATAAAGGACCCCCGCACACTTCTTATGGGATTTCTGACCGCGGTCAAATTTAACCAAATTTCGGCATGTTATAGATCTCACCTTTCTGATCAATAACTCTCATTGCCACAACTTAATCCTATGACTAGTTTCTGAGATACAGGTAGTTTAATGTCCAAGAAATGCACACATTTTATATGCATTTACATCTACCTGTCATCTAAAAATGCCAGGATGAACAGGTATCCTCACGCTCAGGTGACAGGTAGATGTGAATGCATATAAAATGTGTGCATTTCTTGGACATTAAACTACCTGTATCTCAAAAACTAATCATAGGATTAAATTGTGCCCATGGTAGTTAATGATCAGAAAGGTGAGATCTATAACATACTAAAATTTGGTTAAATTTGACCGCGGTCAGAAATCCCATAAGAAGTGTGCAGGGTCCTTTCTAGTAAATTTTGTGAATTTTTGTAAATTTTGTAATTTATCAATTTTGTGAATTCTTTAGGATTTAATAAAATCATAGAAATTCAGAAAATAAGTAAAATAACGGAAAGTTACAAAAAATCACAAAAATTATAAAAATTTATGAAAATTACATATAAGAATTTAAGAAAATTATAAAAATTTATGATAATTACAAAAATTCATGGAAATCATAAAAATTTATGAAAATTACAAAATTACAAAAATTTAAAAAAATCATAAAAACTTGGAAAATCACAAAAATTATGAAAATCATGAAAATATTATAAAACTTTAAGAAAACAATAAATTTCAATAAGTCAATTTTCTAGAACATATTTGAGATTTCAGTCATAAAAAAAAAAGAATCACTCTTTGCCGTTTGTACATGATATTTAGAAACACCCTGTATAATACGCCGTTAATTAATTTATATACAGGGTGTCCCAATAGAAAGTGACCGATTTTAAATGCTTATAACTTTTAAACCAGGTGTGCTAGCTACCGGCGATTTGGGCCATTCGACATTTCTTGGCCTAAAGTTTTTTTTTTCAGTTGGTTGAAAATTTTTTTCACACCTATACAGGGCGAGTAAAAAAAATGCCATTTTTCAACATCGAAATTCTCCACTATTTCAATGGATGATGCAACGCCAAAATTAAGAGTCGTTACCAAGGTATTCATTTGCCAATAAATGTCGGCCTTTTTTGAACCTAAAAAAATGCATTTATTTTTGGGCCAGATTTCTATTTCAATTTTTTAGGGCTTCCATGCCCGATGTTTATTGGTACATCAATACCTTGTACACGACTCTCAATTTTGGCGTTGCAACATACATGGTGTTTCAATAAAAATAGTGGAGAATTTCGATGTTGAAAAACGGCATTTTTTTACTCGCCCTGTATAAGTGTAAAAAAAATTTGCAACTAACTGAAAAAAACTTTAGGCCAAGAGAAGTTGAATAGTGCAAATCGCAGGTAGCTAGCACACCTGGTTTAGAAGTTATAAGCATTTACAATTGGTCACTTTTTATTGGGACACCCTGTATTACTAGTTTGGTAAAGTAACATTACTAATTCCTGTCAATAGACAAATAGACAAAAAGTGGATAATCTCACAAACATTACTAATTCCTAATAATAGACAAATTGACAAAAAGTAAATAATTATAATCTTACAAATTTTCACTTTATATAATAAGTTATTTTTTCAAGTACAAATAAGTGGATTGTTGCGGAACTTATGGGTGGACCTCTGCGGGACGAGCGCAGCGAGTTCCGCAGCCATCTACTCACTAATATACTATATTGAACTGTTTAAGCAAGACATTCACCTGAAATGTGTAGTTTTTGAATTAATAAGAATAATTCACATTTAAATGAGTTAAGTTATTATCGTTATTACACAACATATTGATAAATAGATGGCTGCGGAACTCGCTGCGCTCGTCCCGCAGAGGTCTACTCATAAGTTCCGCAACAATCCACTCGTTTGTACTTGAATAATTTGTCACATTAGGTTATTAATTTGGTAAAGTAACATTACTAATTCCTATTAATAGGCAAATTGACAAAAAATAAATAATCATAATCTTACAAATTTTCACTTTATACAGGGTGGTCCATTTAACTTGAGACAGTCTAATATCTCGAAAACGGTGCGTTTTTGGAAAAAAAAGTTCAAATAAAAGTTACATGGTATCATGTGGGAAACAAAATGGTGGTACTGATTTTTGACTTTGACAACGTTTTCAAGGTTATTTCAAGGTCAACTCTTTTTTTTTCAATGGAAATATATTTTTTTATTACAGAATCTTATTCTACAGAAAAAAACAAGTAATTTTTACTTGAAGCATTTTTCGATCCGGTTTCAATTTAAGCTGATAAAAAAGAACGAATAATTTTTTTTTTCCTCCTCACAAAATCGAAAAGTAGAGAAAGGTTACCAAAAATACCTCAAAAAATATAACAATTGATCAAATTGACGACCGCCAACTTCAACACACTTGTTAATTCGCTGTAAAAAGCTTTCATGGCACCAAATTACAGTTTCTTTACTGACAGCTCTAAGCATTTCTTATGTGTTCCATCATATTATCCGGTGTTGTGGGAACCTCTTGATAAACTGTGTGTTTGATTTTTAAAGTGAATTGACAAGTGTGTTGAAGTTGGCGATCGTCATTTTGATCAATTGTTATAGTTTTTGAGGTATTTTTGGTAACCTTTCTCTACTGTTCGATTTTGTGAGGAGAAAACAAAAAAAATATTCGTTCTTTTTTATCAGTTTAAATTGAAACCGGATCGAAAAATGCTTCAAGTAAAAGTTACTTGTTTTTTTCTGTAGAATAAGATTCTGTAATAAAAAAATATATTTCCATTGAAAAAAAAAGAGTTGACCTTGAAATAACCTTGAAAACGTTGTCAAAGTCAAAAATCAATACGCCATTTTGTTTCCCACATGATACCATGTAACTTTTATTTGAACTTTTTTTTTCAAAAACCTACCGTTTTCGAGATATTAGACTGTCTCAAGTTAAATGGACCACCCTGTATAATAAGTTATTTTTTCAAGTACAAATAAGTGGATTGTTGCGGAACTTATGGGTGGACCTCTGCGGGACGAGCGCAGCGAGTTCCGCAGCCATCTACTCACTAATATACTATATTGAACTGTTTAAGTAAGACATTCACCTGAAATGTATAGTTTTTGAATTAATAAGAATAATTCACATTTAAATGAGCTAAGTTATTATCGTTATTACACAACATATTGATAAATAGATGGCTGCGGAACTCGCTGCGCCCGTCCCGCAGAGGTCCACCCATAAGTTCCGCAACAATCCACTCGTTTGTACTTGAATAATTTGTCACATTAGGTTATTAGTTTGGTAAAGTAACATTACTATGTGATACTGTAAAATATTTATGACGAAATTCGACTCAATATCAATTTTTTTTTCATCAATTTAAATTAACTGTCAAATGTCAAATGTCAAAATCCAATAAAATGTCGATTTTTTCGAAATGTTGACATGGATTAACATATTGACTCATAACTTTGTCAATTTTGAACCGATTTTAAGATAATTAGGCTTAAAATGAAGCCAATTGAATTATCTACATATATGTGTTTGGCCCCAAATTCAACATAAAATGCCAAAAAAATCCAATTTTTTAAAAAACTTTTACAGTCAATTTTGCAGCAAGTTTTCAATTAAAATTAATGACCCGGCCTGGAATTTTGTGTATTTTTCAAGCAAAACACTTCATTAAATACTTTAAAACACTTCAGAATTGAAATCGCCCCAAAAACTCCAAAATTATGCAAAAAACCCGTGACGTGAGCTCTAAATATCAATAAAAGACGCCATGACAATACCAACTGATAAAAAAAAAATGCAAAAAAACTTAAAACTTACGAGTTTTAATCGAACTCAAAGGCCCGGCCTGAAATTTTGTGTTTTTTCAATGCAAAACACTCTAATAAACACTCTAAAACACTTTATAGAATTAAAATCGCCCCAAAAACCCCAAAATTGAGCAAAAAAAAACACGGGACATGAGCCCCAAATACCATCAAAAGACGCCATGACAGTACCAACTGATAAAAAAAAAATGCGAAAAACTTGAAATTGACTAGTTTTAATCAAAACTAAAAGCCCGCCCTGGAATTTTGTGTATTTTCAACTCAAAACACTCCAATAAACACTCTAACACACTTTTTAGAATTTAAATCGTCCCAGAAACCACAAAATTAAGCAAAAAAAACACGGGACATGAGCCCCAAATAACATCAAGAGACGCCATGACAGTACCAACTGATAAAAAAAAAATGCGAAAAAACTTGAAACTTACCAGTTTCAATCGAAATCAAAGGCCCGGACTGGAATTTTGTGTCTTTTCAACGCGAAACACTCTAACACACTTTTTAGAATTCAAAATCGCTGCAAAAACCCCAAAATTGAGTGAAAAACCCGGGAAGTGAGCTCCAAATAACATCAAAAGACGTCATGACAGTACCAACTGCCAAAAAAAAATCCAAAGCCTACTTGCCCCATTTTATAGTGTTGCCACATCAATATTTTATTATAATTAAAATTGCCTAAAAAAGTCAAAAAATCTCAAACAAATTTTCTTTATTCCAGAACATTTATCCGAAGCCATCCAAACGAGCTGCGCTAAATGCAGCGAGGCGCAGAAACGGGGCAGCCGCAAAATCATCCGCCACCTTTTGAAGAACAAACGCAGCTGGTGGAACGAACTCCAAGCCAAATACGACCCGGAGGGCGTCTACGTTAAAATGCACGCCGAAGAATTAAAGGCCGAAGGAATCACCCTGTAGAATTTAATAATTAATAAATTTAATTATGTTTTTTAGACCTTTGATTTGTTATAAATTAATATAAGATGTTTGAGCTGAGGGCATTTTAAGTCAAATATACAAAAATGATGAAGCTTCATCTATTGGTTGTTTTATTATTTGTTGCAATTCATGCAGAAGAAACCAAATATACTGATAAGTATGATAATATTGATGTAGATGAGATTTTACATAGCGATAGATTGTTGAAGAATTACTTCAATTGCCTTATGGATAGAGGCAGGTGCACACCAGTTGGCTCTGAAATTAAGAGTAAGTTATTTTTTGTTTGAATATAAACTTTGTTCCAACCGTAATATTATCTTCAGAAATAAAGTGGTTCTGGGTTGGGATCATGACAAGTAAAATACTACTTTCATGACGTCACTTACGACCTATTTATCGCGTACACTACAGGTGATGATGAGGGTTCCTATGCAACCTGACGTCATGAAAATAGAATTCTACTTGTCATGATTCCAGCCCTGGAACGATTTTTTGACGAACAATTACTTAATTTTGTCACAATTATTTTCCAGAAAATCTACCAGACTCGTTGGAAAACGAGTGTCAGAAGTGCAGCGAAAAACAGAAAAACATCGGCAAGAAAATCCTGAAATACATGATCGAACAAAAACGTGAAATGTTCGACGAAGTCGAAAAAAAGTACGACCCAAACGGAGTGTACCGTAAGCGTTACGAGGCTGATTTAAAGAAAATCGGTATAAAGTTGTAAATAAAATAAATATATATATATATTTCGCATATCAATTATTACAATTTGATGTTTTCCTTTTTAGCTTCAGCTTCATATTTCTTCATATAAGTCCCGTTGGGATCGTATTTAGCAGCTAATTCATTCCATTGCTCCCTTTTATGCTCGATCAGATAATGAATCACCTTTTTAGCTCCATCTCTTTGCTTAGAGCTACATTTTGAACAATCATTTTCCAAAGCATCTGGTAGATTTTCTAAAAAGAATATTCCAGAATTAAAAATAATCATTTTATCTATAAGTACAACTACTTACTCTTTAATTCTGATCCATCAGGAGTGCATTTGCCTCGATCCATAAGGCAATTCAAGTAGTTCTTCAACAATCTATCACTGGCTAAAATTTGATCCAAATCTACATTGTCGTACTTTGAAGTGTATTTTTCTTCGGCACTGCAAAGCAGTACCAGTAAAGCGCAAATAATTAGGACTTTCATGGTAGTACTGCGGTCTTTTAATTAAAACAACAGGAAACCGTTTGTATTTATAGATTCAAATGGTCGTTTTTTGTACGGTACTGATTGACGACCAAATTTGAACTTTGTAATGGTTTAATTGATGGGTCATTTATTTAATTGATGGGTTTTTTATTCGGTGCGCGTCTAAAGTACATAAGTTAATTATATATCGCTTAATTCAATAGAAACAATAATTAATTAATTGATTGGCGCCAAAACAAACAAAAATTTTGAATTTTTAAAAAGACAGTTTTCTACTTTATCGATATCGGTTGCTGTTTCCAAAACATTTAAAACTGATTAATTAGACATTTAAATGCATTAAAATCAACGTAATTATTCAATTGAATAAGCCTCAAAACTATTTTTAAATAATTTGGGTGTAATAAAGACACTCATTTGTTACAAGATGGCGCCACTATAACATGATAAATGCCCCAAAATCCAATAAATAACTAATTACGCTTTAAATAGAGACCTAAGTACGCTTAAATGTCATAAAATAAGCCCCAATCTTAACTTTGGAACAATGATTTTGGATTTAGTGCAGGTTATATTTATGTTGGAGTAAATAGTGAGGGTTGGGTCAAATAGAACTGGTTCTAATAGAACAAAAAACCGAAAGAGCTATTATTGCGAATCGTGTTCTGAATCAAATAATCAAATAAGTAGAGGTGACGATATCTTCCAGCTTTTTTCAAATGGGATGCTTTATATATTTCATTCTATATTTTTGAATCACAATGCCCCGATCTACAGTGTGTCCCGCTTAAGGATTGACCACCCTTCTGAAATTTTTATTTTTCAACCGATTCAATTCATTTTTTTTTACAAGCTTTTATTTAAGTTCACCTGTATGTATGTATGTATGTATGTAATCAAATCTTGCAACCAGTGGCGGATTTAGCATGAAGCAAACGACGCACTGTGCGTCGGGCCCCCAGAGCTGAGGGGCCCCCAAACAACCAGATTCTAAAGGGACCGATAAAAACAAATAAAAAAAAAATTAACTCGTAGATATAAAAAAAAAAAAACGAAAATTAAATTTTGAAAGAGACGGCAACGTTGTATACCAGGATGCCTATTCTTGAAACCGGGGAACAGCGTTCTCACGAGAAAGAACGATTGCTCAGTCTTTGTCAGTGTTATCTCCTGTTTCGACAATAAAGGTCCTGTAGGGAATCCAGGGCTGGAATCGTGACAAGTAGAATTCCACTTTCATCACGTTATTCCCGACTCATTTATCGCGTACAGTACGACAATTGTTAGGCAACCTGACGTCATAAAAGAGAAATACTAGTAGAATGTCGTAATCCCAGCCCTGATGCACTCGACGCGATAATGCGATAATGCGGCAACCGCGGACGCGTCGACTTTAGGCGGCCTTTTTAGCTATAAGGCAATTTTTCGCAAGGAAAATCAAGCATAATTTGATTATCCCTGCGGTTTTATTCTCATCAAATTTTACCGATGGGTCCACCTTTCTATGACGGTCATTGTCATTTTCTATTCACTAAACAAAGATAGCTAACTCATCGGTGAAGTCACCGATGAGAATAAAAACGAGGGGTATGCTGGGTTATGTGATGTGTCAATTGTAATTGTATCATATTCCCCTAACTCCTCTACATCAAATTCTGGGCCTGCGAGTGACGTCACTACTATCAGCCGCTTGTAGTGATGACGTCACCCGCAGACCTCGATGGAATGCTTGCAATTCAGGCTGTGCTAGTGTTAATTTTTTCGTCGATTTTAAATGTAGAAAAGGTAATTTTCCTTGATCCTCGAGTATCCCAGAATTTGATGGTGGGGGAGTTAGGGGAGTATGACACAAATGACACATCATATCGTCGGTCTCATGACATAAGGCCCTATCTCGAGATAGGGCCAAAATGAGTTAAGTTCATAGATTGGTTGCATTTAGTGTATTCTTGTTTTTAGCCAAGGGTCTTATCTTAAAATCAGTTCATTTCGTTAAAAAAGTGAGAAAATCAGTGGCGTAGCCAGTAGGGGGGCAGGGGGGGCGACGGCCCCCCCCGCCCCTACAAGTATGGCGCCCCTACCGCTCTTAAAAAGCAAAAACAATAAATTATAAAATTATGCTGTTTCTTATTTATTTTATTGATCCCTTTATTCTTTAACGTAAGTTGGCTGTTGGCAAATGGTTCAGTTCAATCAAAAGAAACATAATAGTTTCTGTTTTGATGACTGATGTGGTTGAAAAAGGGAGTGACTACTGCACTGTCCAGACAGTGATGACTGAAAACTATCTGCACTAACCAGACAGTGCCGACTAAAATCTATCTGCACAGTCAAGACAGTGCTGACTAAAAACCATCCGCACTGTCCAGATAATTTCATCATCATAACATCATATCATATAAAGTTCAAAATGGCTTGGCTTCCTTGCTGGGATTCAGTATGTTAATATGCCCTAGGTAGTTATTTTTGTATTGAGTCCGCAAAATGAGTGTTTTTTTAATGGTACCTGAGAGTGTCAATTTCCACAGGTCAGGTCTAGGCGAGGCCATATAGTTATTTTCCTAACCCAACAAGTGCTCAAAGTATTACTTTGAGCACGGACATGCGTGCGGAAAAGTACTAATTTGTAGGAAGAATGTTGTCTGTATTTTGTATGCGACATTTGTGGTAATTGACAGCTCTGAATGAATTTTTGGCCTCGTCCTGACATGTGAAAATTGACACAATTAGGTACTGGGTATTTGTTTATAACTGGTACACTCGATAAACTTTCTTATTTTTGAAAATAAAGGGCATGTTCAACACGTAGTTGGCAAATTTCTTGGGAAATCGCAACCTTAAGCGATACAACGCCATTTTTTTTTGCTGTCTTCATAGGTATACAGAGTGCGCCAAAAAGGTATTTATTTCAAATGGAACGCCCCATATATTTTTGTTATCCAAATAGTGTTTGATATTTTTGTGAAGTTAATTTTCTTAGAATTTTAAAAATACAAAAATGTGCTTACAAAAAATTACTTTTTTGGCGCACTCTGTATACCTATGGCGACAAAACAATATTGTTGTAGCGATTGAGATCGTCGCAATTTACCAAGAAGTTTTCCAATTTAAACATGTCCTTTATTTTCAATAGTAAAAAAGTTACTGAGTGTTCCAGTCACTGGCGCCGACTACATGGGGGCATCGGGGCTGGTGCACCCATGAGCAACCTCTCATGGGGAATGCGGAAGTACAAACCACAAACGTGTTTAATGGCCATTCCAACGGTGGTTCAGCTGTAAGTACTTGATATTTGGCTTACTTTTTACTTACTTTTTGATTTTGTTTTTCTTCTTCTTGTACCTTTTTCTTTGACTGTACAGTGTATCCCATTTTGGAAGTACATAAGGGATATCTCAGAATCTCAGTTGCTATTGGAGTTAGAAGGATGCGGTTTTCGCTCGGGTTTTCGGGAACGTTAGCTACTCTTCTGTCAAATGAAAGATGCCGTTAACAAAATTGTACTCGCCTTTTCGTTCTTAAGATACAAGGTGTTTTCTAAAATATTGCATTTTGGGACATCCTTTGTAGGTAACTCCGCTCTCTCATAAGTGATCGAAAACGTGACAACGGGTTTCTATAGATATTTTTACGTAGATTCCAGAAGCATTGTCAGTTTTTCTCTAAAAGTGATAGTTTTTGAATTATGAATCAAACATACGTTATTTCAAATGAGACGCCTTACATATAATAAATTCATTGGATAGCTTTGCTTTTGCTGATTTCAATTCAATCAAAATTCGATACCTTTATCTCTGACAGTTTTCGAGCAGAAAAAATTTATCTGTTTTTGTCATGAGAAACAGTGTTGCGTACTTGAAATGACATTTACGTAGAAATACTTGAAAAAATTATTTAGGTATTTTTTATTTCAAGTATCATTCCAATTAAACTAACAAATTAAATTATTGCTATCGATAATCTTAAAGGGGATGTGACCCAAAAATAAAAATTTTAGAAAAAAAAATCCAAGAACGAATTTTCAAGCCGCACTAGGCTTCGGCCAACCGTTGCGAAGATACCGCCACTCCTAGCACTGTGACGTCATATGCACAAACTGAGTCTGACAATATTAGCTGTGTTCCAACCGACATGAGAACCGTTCCAGAAGCAGCAATTTCCAGTTGCTCACCTAAGTTGAACGTTCATCCTACTTGACAAATGAATTGATCGACTGGAAACTACCGTTTTAGGACGTTTCTCATATCAGTTGGAACAGAGCTATTATGGACATTATCGTATTGTTTTTGCGTTCTCACACCTATTTCTGCGTCAGTGTGTTTATGACGTCACACGATGAATAAACAAAACTTTATTTAGTCGTCAAGTAAATTTTAAAGCATTTAAAAATACTTCAATTAAAAATATTTACTTCAAGTAATTTCACTGGTACTTAAGTAATTTAATATCACTTAAGTACAAATTTTCAAAACCTTTCAAGTAAAATATACTTGACTGATATTTTAAGTATTAAGTACAAGTAAAATTTGAAAAACTTGAAATTGCAAGTACAAGTACCAATGTTTGGATTAGTACTTAAGTCAAATAAGGTAAACGTTCCTATTATCGGCACCTTAAGCACCTTACATAGCCTAGGGCATAGTTTTGTTTCATTTTAGTAAATAAAATACCCGAACATCCAATATTTTGATTATCGATTTTGATGACAAAAGGCGTCATATTACGTACGAATTATTTATTTCAACCCAAAACTAATGCGTAATATTTATGGAAAGCAATAAATATAAAAAAATGTATGCCCTTATTAACGGCATCCTAAAATAAATTCATGTTCCAATTTTCGGCATCCAAAAGATCCTTTTATCGGCACAGAATCAGGTTACCCAAATTCTATTAAGTTATCTATAGTCATCAATGTGAAAAGGAGATACAACTAAGAAAATTCCTATACTTCTGTGAGCCATTGACAAATGCGGTTTTCTGTTAGGGTATTTCTAGCACACGTGAAATTTTGGGAAATTCTTGCCTCAGTTCCAGGTGCCTTTTCAAAAATAATTCATACCATTTCTGGCCAGGCCTTCGATCTG